GTATTTCGGCAAAATCTGATTATGAATTATCTTTATTTATGTACGAAGAAAATAATAAAGATATAAATTTAAAAAAAATTTTTTTGATTTTTTATCATGCGGTATCATGCGCATTTTATGTATCATGCGCATTAATGCGCATTCATGCGCATGTTATTTTAAAATGCGCATTTTTCCCATCTCTAAATTTAACTTAGCTTGTATGTTCGGTAAATTATTACAATATATTATTAAGTTTATTAAAAAACAAAAAAAAAAGGAATACCTATACCAAATTACATTTATTTCCGCAGTATTAATTATTTTTAGTATTTAAATAATATTTTATTTAAAAAAATATATTATAACGATAATAAATAAAAATAATAACTTTAGAATTATATATGACCGACCAATCAGTAAAATCAAAACAATAAAAAAAAAACAACGACGCATTAAGTTTCGGGTCGTAATTAAAAAAAAAGTTAAAAGAATTACAGTATCTAACCACTTTTATCCAACAAGATAATTTTGCTACAAAAACGTTTTTAACCCAAAATTTTGCAAGGAATTTTTATTATTATTACGCAGAAAGTAGTTTCATAAGTAAAATTTTGAGTTACGAGCGATTTCTTTGATTTTTACGTTACACCTGATCTTAAATTCTGATTGGTCAGTCATAGACTAGCGATGCTACTCTTATAAAAAACCATCGTTTATCACAAATTTATTTAATAATATATAAGAGAAAATCGATTTTTCTTATTCAAATCGATTACTTCACCAAAATCGATTTTAAATTTCAAAATCGATTCTTAGAATCGATTAATCGATTTTTAAAATCGATTTTAAAATAATCGATTCTCGATAATCGATTCCCATCCCTACTATAGAGCATAAACAGTATTATCGCTGTTATTGCACCCAAAATCAACTTCTTATTGTGCTTATTATTGCCTTTATAATTGGTATTAGCGGGAGTTGAATCAATATTACTGGGACCAACACCTATTAACAAGAGCTTAATTATTAGATGCAAAATATATAATTAATTCAAAAATAAATATACATATTTTTACCAGTACCATATGATATATCGATGGCTATAATACGCATACAATTCATGATGTTAAAAAATTGCTAAATAATAATAAAGATAATTAGAGAATAAAGTTTTTACCTGTATGAAATGAACCTTTTACAATTGCATCCTTTGCTCCAAGATAATCAGTCTTACACTTGTTTATCACTTTTGCCCATAAGCTTATTATCTCTTCGTAATCAACCTTTGGAATTTCTAATGTACAAGTTGATTTTTTTATATGATCATATAGCAATTTAACCAAATTATCAATTAGACATTTATGGCTTTCCCAAAAACTATTGAGCAGTTTGAATTGATATTTGATTATTTTAATTTCTTTATCAATTTCTTTATCAATTTTATCAATTTCAATCGTCTTCACATTTGAGTTATATAACCCTTGCTTTATCTCATTATTTATATTATCTAGGTAATTTTCAAGACCTTCAATACAACTAATCCTTTTATTAGAATCATTAAGAGAAGTTTCTAGCACATCAACCAAATCGCTGGCCTTAGCTGTATCATTTAAAATAACTTTAAAACACTGAATAATATCACTATTGAATAAAGAAACTTCATAAAGTTCAGAAGACAAGTCTTCACTAAATTTGATAAAATTGACGGTTATTTGTTGTATACTCGTAATTTTGGATTTCTCAATTAGTACTTTACATTTTTGTAAAGCTTTTAAGACTTTAAATATCGCTTCATCCGGTTGATTTGTGGGAGATAAAATATTTTTCAAGACCGTTTTACATAACTCAAATTTAGGATCTTTACAATTTGAATGTAAAACAATCTCATTTTCATTTTTACTTCCTTGGTAATGACTTTTATTTATGTCTTTCGAATTTTGCATTTGTAAAGATTTAATATACGAATAAGTGCGAAAAAAGATTGTGTAAAATAGGAACAATTTCGAAATTGGAATCAATGAGGTACGGTACAGGAAATCTAAAAACCTCAATACATTATATAGAATAGTAACTATAATAACTAACTCATTTAATCTAATTAGTCATTCTTAATAGTGACATATCTAAGTTTTAGTATTACAGAGGAAGAACAATAAGCATTTTCGACAAGTATTCTTTCAAAAAACTGTGTAATATGCAACTTTTCCAAATATCTTCTAATCTTTTAAATTACATGTGAAAGAGAATTTATATAATATAGAAAATATTTGGGGATACTTGTAAAAAAAATTTATTGTTCTACTTGTTAGTATATAAATAAATAGTTGCTATAAGTACATTTTTATTCATGGCGTATTATTTCCAAAGAAATTCCTGCTAAGAAATTTATTTTTAATTGATACGAGTTTATGCATTATCTCTATATACGTAGAGAGATTGAAGTACACTGTCACGGTTCCCCTCGTGACACATTTCCTGGGGCTTAGACGGTTACGATTTCTTTTATTTTTTTATTATTTTTTTTATTTATTTTTGTTGTCTGTTTGTTAGCTACAATAGTGAGAACAGTATGCGAGATATATCTGATAAATATGTCCATATAAAGTAGAAACTGGTTATCGTGGGTGTCGTTGTAGGACTATTGTCTATCAAATTGGATAACCAGCAGTGGACGGATTGTTTATTGGGGGCTTCCTTGAGCAAATTGTCAAGGGACCGAGGACTAAATTAGGTATGTAGTTGTGTGGCTTTGCTAGAAAATGTATATACCTGACATGTACTAACCTTAGTCATTGGTATATTCTTT